GTGATTCTTAGGCAAGAATTGTTAGATTTATCTTGTACGTGTCTCAGATTAACGTTGTACCTTCGAAGAAAATTATCAATGTGCATTAAATCTAACAGGATGATCTTAACGTTGAATCTAACGTTCCGTTAAATTGGAGAAAGTGTACCGAATTCGACTGGGAATTGGTCCAGCGGTTGTGAAAGATTCGTAAACCTATAAATGACGGAGGAAAATCGTGAATAATCAGGGTTGATAATTTATTAAAGCTGGTGGGTGATCGGGTATTCGATTCTTTGGCAGAAAATCATTCATCATCTTGCGGTGATGTGAGCAACCACGCGGATCGATCGAAACAAGACACTCAATCAGGCCTCTAAACATTGATTAATGTAGATTGTGTTAGCAATGACGTTGTAGATACACATACTGCTGTGCTGCAGATCAAAGTCTCGCGTTATTAGCCCTCTCGTCGAGGAGAGCTAGACGTCGCACGGTGGTTCAAAAATAATTACCTGACAACGCGGAACTGTGTTTCATCTTAGAAATGTGTAGATCGTTGAAACGAGTGTGATCGTTAAATGCAGAAAATCGAATTCGAACTATTCCAAGTTGAAATTCAGCCAGTGAGACGAAGCGTATTCAAAATTTGATGTCGACTGGTGCGATTAAATTAAGAAAAGTTTGAATAAAATCCAGTCAAACTCAAGCTGTTCAAATTCAAATTTTCAAATTCTAAAGTTTGATTCGGCCAATGAAATTCAAGCTGTTCAAATTTAAATTTTCAAATTCTAAAATTTGAATTCACCCAAGATATTCAAATTTACATCGATCCACCCTCGAATTCAAACTACTCAAGTTTAAATATTCAAATTGAAAAATTAAAATTCACCCGGCTGTTTCGAAGCATCGCGTCGCGACGTTCTCTCTAATGAAGCTACCTTCGAGTAACCGTCGTTCAAACTAACCGACGCGCGACAACTATCAGAAATACCATTCGCCTCAGATACACCGGGATATAAAACGTTCCTTAAAAACCAATTTCTCAGCTGTAAGACCTAATTCGAATTGCACAGAAGAGGAAAGTTCATTTGCAGTCATTACGCTAACACTGACGAGATTACCTCCAACGATCTCCAATCTCGATTAACCTCCTCTCGCCACCAGCATCTTCCCTCTTACACAGAAACTCCTCTCTTGTACGCTTTCTCTGGCGGTGAAACTGTATCAAAGGGGCGTCTAAAAAAGCTCGTTAGCTTGTTACGTCTAAAACGCAGAAAGAAAAGAAAAAAAGAAAAGTGTGGCCATCGCCAGTCCAGAAATTCAATTACAAAATGGATCTTATGAAGTGGCCTTTGAAGGTTCCAGCAGTGAGGTACGCTACACAACCTCCGACTACGACCGCCACGTCTTGTCTGAGCTCTCGAAGGGCGGCGACCAACAACGAGACCAAAACGACCACAACACCGACACAAAGTCCTACGGCTGGACAGAACACGCTCTCCTCCGAGAGGAGTCCTGTCGCGGGACGACCCTCCAGGAAGCACGTCCAGTTCCCTGACACACCGTCGGACAGCCAGAAGAAAAAGTCCTGTAGTAAGTGTATCCTTGGTTTCTGCATGAACAACTTCACGCGTCTGTTACGCTTTAACTTGAGGAACCTTATCTAGGTTGGACGAAACTTATCTTTTGTTTGCCACGTGAATCTACTGCGTTGACACGTTTCGAAACGCAGCGGAATTCGCGAAATTTTTACTATCACCGGATTATTCGAGTCTCGGTTGTTAATACTTGAGGGAGAGATTTGGCGGAGACTTTGTATTTCCGCGTGAATTTATGTTTAAGAGGAGTTCCCTTAACACCGGACGGCGCCTAATATCGGACATTAGCGGCTAGCCGTTATTCTGCGTATCTCGTAGAGGAGACAAAAGCGTTTGAGTCGCGAGTGCACAGGTAGAGAGATTTATTTAAGAAAAACCTTAAGCGTCCGACGCTAGGGGAACTCCCCCTATATGTTCTAAATGCAGTGAGATTCGCGAAATTTTTACTATCACCGGATTATTCGAGTCTCGATTGTTAATACTTGAGGGAGAGATTTGGCGGAGACTTTGTATCTCCGCGTGAATTTACGTTGATACGTTCTAAACGCAGCGGAATTTATGACATGTTTGTTTCAACCGGATTGTTTTGATTATTAACACTTAATTTTTGCAGTTTTTAATCTTTTCACCTGTTAATATGTCTTTTTATGAAATATTGTAAAATAATTCGATGATCCACCGCGGTGGGTCACGCTGCCTAGTCGATCTTTCTTGTTATTTTCGTTGGAATGACCCATCGGTGGGTCACGTATGTAGGCGAATAAAAGTATCTCTCAATGGATCACACCGACTATTCATTCTTTACTGTCGTCCATACTAGAATGACCCATCGATAGATCACATCTAAGATAAAAGAATAACTCGATGACCCACGGGTGGGTCACGCCATCCCAAACACGTTAAAATCAGATCTACTAAATTCGTAAAACAGAAAAGGTGGAAGTGAAAAGGGACGAAGTAGAAATGATGTTGACCAGTGAACACATTCGATCCTCCTATAATTCTCTACATTACACACTTTTCCTTCCACCTTTGCTGAATCGTCACGTTATCTTCAACTTCCTTCTAATATAAGTCGAAGCTGCACAAAAGAGTCCTTATTTTCTCACTCACCTCAGATCCAAAGCGAGCTTTGAAAGATATTCATAAGCACGATTATGCAGCACACAACTCCGACAAATTTCCTGCGTTATTAAAAATCGATCCTCTAGTTATATCGCTAAATATCCTAGCACTGACCTAACTCAAATCGATCGTAGCAAAGGTCTTGAGCCATTTCAACCTTGACACATAGATCACTCCGATCGTTATTTACCGACGACTATAACGTCCAGTGAATAAACCAGAGAATGATCGTTCGCCAACTTCGAACCGACTCGTTTAAAAGGGACAGCAAACGTCGCTATAGAGAGAGTGTATGTGTGTCTTTGATCTTGAAACTATATTCGTCCCGTGTAACATCCACTTTTACTATACACATCTTGTTATTGCCACCACTTAAGGCTAGCCTGTTGCCACCGTTAAACGAATCAACCGGGCAATATTCGAGACATCGTGAATTTTCACGTCGTTTCTGTGTAACGTTTGTTTCAGAATCTTCTATCACGATGTTGATTCCTAGAATCGAAATGGAGAACGAGCACACGACGTCTACGTCCTCGTCGAAACTCGAGGAAGGTTCCACGATCGATCTGGTTCTTGAAACGCAAAAGAACAACAGTAACCAGCACTCTTGAACCAACGAAACAGTGTCCTTTTCTCTGTGTTCGGAGAGAAACGCTAATCACAGAGGATCTTCTCCTCCTTCTTCGTCACTTACTTACGTGTCTCTTTCGCTCGTCGAGAGATATCGCGGATCCTACACACACACAGACACGCACACAGAGAGGATACATACCGCCAATGAATAATTTATCCTTCTCGAGGGACGCCCACCAAGTACAACTTTGATCCACGAGAGGAGAAACCGGTGGTCGAACGACGTCGTTCCGCTAGTTCGTGTTCAAAGCGACGCTCGGTGCAGCTGATTTGCTCGATCGCCAGCTTTGCTACAAGAATTACTTCCAACTAATAGAATCTGACGATCCTACAGCCTCGATCTTACCACGACAGAGTTGTCCCAGTCTCTCTCCCGCGACACGCTCGCTGGACTCGCGATTATGTCGTGATTCTGGCTGACCAAAGGGGACAGCGCGTAATGCTAATCACCGATATTCGTGAAACTTTGGTGTATTTTAGTGTCGGAAAGAAATATTCCACGCGTATCTTTTTTGTTTACCGGCTGTCGTGTACACGATGAAAATCGCTGTGAAAGATGAGGATGATAGATATACATATTTGGTGAGAGTTATTTATTTTTTATTTTTCAAGTTTGTTGTGAAAATTATTTCTCTAAGCTCTAATAGCTCTCGAGATATTAAGCTAAATATAATTTACCACTTTCAACTTTAAGAGCGATTTTCACCCCTTCACTGTGAATTATTGCCAATATAAAAAAGACACGTGTCGAATATTTCCTCGAGAACTGTTATACGTCGAAGTTTCATCCAAGAAAATCGATCGAAATCACTGAAAAGGAAATTCCTCGCGAGAAGAAAATCGTCGTTCGTCGCGTCGAAGCCTCTCGTCGGTGGGAAAATTCGAGATCAAGCGAGATTTACGTCTTAATGTTCGAAACTGAATCGAGAGACAAGTACTTTCGATTAACGGGAGAACCGAGGCGTGCAGGTGAGTAGAATCGAATACGATCGCGGTGTGGAGGAAGATTCGATGTAACGATAAACATTTGCACGAGATTCGATCAATATTGACGACGCGACGATTCCATCGCCGCGATAATCAGCATCGATCTTCCCCAGTCGAGAGTGAACGTTTCGACGGTTCTATGGCAGCTACCTTCGAAAATCGATCAGTTTAAATTCAACTTGCCGAAACTGCTTTCCAGAGACGTGAACTTTTTCACGAGAACGTCTGTGCTCCGGTAAAATTGCAATTAACACCGTGACTAACGCGCGTGTTCACGGTGATCAATAGTATTTTTGTACTGTACACTTTTTGGACAGATCTGTATTTTTGAGCATCAAAGGAGAACGAAAACGTTGTTTCTCCTTTATTTCTCTTCCTTGATTTCTATCGAAGGTGTGCGCTAATTGGAAAAATTCTCAATCCTCGAATAAGTATGTTTTTTAAGTGAACATTGATTGCCAGACTGTTCGTAACAATTGACTGTACATATTACCGTAAGTTTCGTCGTGTTGCAGTACCTGTTTGTAATAGACTCCGATGAGGAGTTTTCAAAGGCTGTTCAAACATTTTCAATAAATAATTTACGTGGTTTTCTAACATCTTCGTATGCTTATTTCGTTAGAACGATAATTTAACCCTTCTTCACTTTCTGTAACAACGAGTCAGACTCGTCGCTGAAATTCTGATCCAGAAAAACAGTTATATTAGTAAAAAAAAAAAGTTAATTTTAATTCTAACTTTCCGTTTAATTTATAAGATTGAAGATTACCAAATCTAATTGATCTGTAATACATGAATTTTTGTTTTACCTAAAACAGTACTAAAACGGTAACACAGCATAGAGGTATAGTCGGCCGAAGAAATAATAAATGAAGGAATTAATCTGGAATTTTCGATCAATCTTTACTTTATTATCTTGCCAATAATACTGTTCTGTATCTGTAAAAACGATTTCCTTTTCGTTTCCGGGAGATAAAACACCAAGAGAAGGATACTGAACGCGTTCAAGCTAGAGATAAACCAGAATACAATGTACATATTGTGCTGAAACGTAACAGCGCTCCAAATACAGAGAATGATAAAGGACCACGTGAAATTTATGCAGAAGCAGAAGCTGACGCACGTTGCTCTAGAATACATCGGGAAGATTTCGTTCACAATAACGAAAGGCACATAGGTTAATCCTAGAGATACGCTCACCGCGTAGAATAATATCACGACGAATGGTAATAACTGCAAATTCGTCATGTATACCGTGTTTTCTTCCATACAGAAGTAAACGCCCAAGAGGAAGCTGCAGTAAGCAACGCCTACAGTGGACACTATCATCAGAGATCTCCTTCCTAGAGAGTCAACCAGACTTATGCACACGAGATAAGAGGTGAGATGCAGCATCGCTAAAACGATGCTCATCTGAGATCCTTGCATTTGGACGTCGGTCTTCTCGAAAATCGTCTGAGCATAGCCGATGAGAACGATCGAGCTTGAGAATGCTTGTACGGTCATTATGCACAGGCCAAAGAGAATTAAGCTTTTTCCTCCTGAAATGTTGAACGTTTTTCAAGATTTGTAAGATTTGCCAGGAAAATATTTCTGAAATTCCCTTTACCCGACTGAGAGATTAGATGAAGGACAGACGACAGCACCCCGTTGTTACGAGGATCACATTCGACTGATCTCACGATCGAGTCCATCTCCTCGGAGACGTCTGGCGAATTGCGTAAAAATATCAGAGAATCCATAGCAGCCTCGAATCTCTTCCTTTGTAGCAAGTAGTAAGGAGATTCGGGGAACCAGATGAACATCGTGAATTGCACCGTGGCTAATGACATCGCCACGTAAGGGAATACGTGCATAGTGCCGAACGAGGCAACTGCGTATCCCGTAAGATTACCACAGTAATCCATTAATATGAAGCAACCGCAGAGAATACCACGAATCTGTGGACGCGAGATCTCTGTCACATACATCGTGCCGCTGGTGAAAATGATTCCGCTGCTGGCACCGGCCATGAATCGAGCCAGACACAGATTCTGAAAGTGGTTAAATTCATAGATCAACAAGCGAAGAGAAACAGTTCGAATTAGGTTGAATTTTTGCGATTGATAATTTTGAGCTTAAGAAACAAATTCAAGTTTACCGAAGCTGAAGGTTTCCATGCTACCAGTAACCAACATAGAAAGGTAGGAACGTAGGTGAATAGAATTGAGATTTTTCTGCCAACGAGATCAACGATGAACATCGAGAGGAGACATCCGAAGGCCGTTCCTAATTTTAACAACGACGCCGCCCAAGGAAATTGATCCACGGTGATCTTGAAGGAGGAATCATCAGCCTGTGGTTGCAGTATCATCGGGGGCGGCCATGCAAGAAACATACCCGCGTTGAACTGGGCCAAGCACACTGTCTTATCGTAACATTTGCTACCGTTATGATTCACGAATGATTATAATCCACGTGTTTCACGCGTATTTTGTTTGTCTTACCCGTGAAAGTCGCCACGTATAGTTTTAGATTCGACATGGTCGCTACTACGCGTAACATTGAACTTCTCCGCGAGTAAAACGTTACAATTATGTTGCACGTCACATGTAATTACATTTGACCTTTCTTTCGCAACCGTTTTCAAAGGTGAACAAGCCGCGATAACAAGTGCACTTTAAATGTGCTTTAATTGTTTGGACTAGAACGTACGCTGTGTGTGTGTGTGTCTCGAGCATGATCGAGACATGTGCGTTGAACAAGTGGGTGACGCTTATTTCATAAGATATACAGGTCTATGCAAATGACGTATAGTCGGTGGAAGCGATACTGTGAGGTCGTACGTCGAAGCATTAAGGCTCGCTTAGGATCGCTCGTAAAATTTCTGCTTATAATCTGAATGTCACAACTCGAGTCGTAACTACAAAGCGCAATTGAAAGAAAGTACAAACTTTCGTGCAAAAAATATCGATAACCTTGAAAAAACTTTTCTTCTACGACATTCCTCCTTCGAGACCATTCAAGTAGATTGCATTCTTCGGCTTGAAACTGCTGAGTTAAATAAACATTGACACCTGACCGATTTTACCTGACCTCGCTACATCGCTTCCACCGACTATACGCGACGTGGCGCCAAATTCAAATATCCTTCTAGCGGGGAATTCCCGCGAATGTAATTAACAATTATCACAAGTAATCGAGCAACTTGCTTTCTCTCGTTTGAAACGCGACAACGACTCATTCTCGTCTAATGTCGAAGAAAAGTATGCTCATATTTCCGAGGAATTAACAGCGAAACATTAAAATCAGAAACAGCAACGAAGAAGAACAAGCGGTGTGCGTTGAAAGCACAAGTAAAACCAGGATCGCTGATATAATCATCTCTTACGTGCTATACCGGCTAGGTACGTGTGTTTATTCACAATTTATAATGCGGGTAACATCATTGATTACTTGGATGTTAATTAATACGAGACACAAGCAGGCATTCCGTTTCCATCGTCGAACGTTAAACCCATTACGTTCGGTTTATTCGTTGAAATTCCGTGGGATTTTACTAAGCAAACGCTCCAACGTATTCCTTCGCGTTTATTATTCAACGTTTTCATTTTATACGAATGAACAAACAGATGTATATCAATTTGAATGATTATCCGTTGCTTGTAATAACACGCATCGACAATATCGATTGTTCTGTCAGAGAATTACAATATTTTGACATGTATTATAGAGTTCTTCGTTGGATAGGATATGTGTCAATGCGGAGTAATTGGTTTTCCGAATAATTTCACGAAAAATAGATGGTTCACGTAACGACGATGTAACCATTGCTCGGGGATTATGCAATAACACGTGTGACGTATATCCTATGTCTGATCATCGTCAGGAAGTAATCACTGTCAGTAGTAATGGCTTATACCTGCTTAGCGTCAGTAGTAACGTGCCGTGTGGATCAGACAGTGCTTTACGCAATCTAAACATCCAGCTGGTGCGCCTGGTACTCGTAATAATGAAAACGCACACACACGAACTAGAATTAATTTGCCACTAACGTATTAATAAATTATACATCTTTATTTAATGTATTATTATTAACATTATATTTGTAAAATGAACTCTGTACAGTATAATTATTCTTCCATTACGCTTAATAAAGGATATACCAGGAACTTTCGACAGAATGTATTAGAGTTAGAATTTAATTGCAAGGTAACACGGTAACAAAGTGTCATGTACCTAACCTGTGTACAGGACACGTTCCAAGCGTGTAACATTGCGCTACATATTGTATGACAAGCGTACAACACATTTCCCTTATGTTACGACGATAAAATTTTGAAAAATATTCTGGACGCTGAACGAGGTATAAATACTAAGCATACTAAGCAAAATGTACATATAAAAATTGTTAATTTCGAAGTATCTATCGAACTACGTGATTCGATATGAAGGGTAGCAACGAGCCGATTAACATAGACTTCCTGCCTATATGGTTTCCCGCGAACAACGCTGTGAATGCACCGATTAAATCTCCGATTTTATGCGCATCAGTTTGTGCGCATATCCAGGTTATTTCGTACTGCGTTGCTTTCATAAAGGAATTTGGCGATTTTTTAATTTTTTACCGATCATGGTGTCCAACCAACGTTAAGTACACTTATATTTACTGAAAGAAAATGTCACATGTCGAATAGTAATGTACGATAGAATCAAACGTACGATAAAAATACGTACCTATTTACTATGAACCGAACGTATGTTTCACTGACCATGTTTCTTCAAATAAAAGCTACGAACTTTCTAACGTAAAGTACCGAACAAGTAAAGTACCGCATATCTACACTACCAGTTAACGATAATACAGTTCCCAACCATACTTTAGGTAATTTCTGTTCTATGCTTAGATTAATCTTTATTGAATCATGTTGGACGTGTAAGTCCATTTGCCAATACAACGTTTCCTCTACTTCGAGCTAATGATCAAAAATAGTGTAAGAATATATCGTAAGAATATAATTTCCTAAAAAATGTCATGTTTTCAACTTGTGACAGTTTTCACGCGGGAGTGCAATGTGTATTTCGTAAACCATCTCGATGTACAATTCACTAAAACTTTGCACTTGGTTATCGAATGGTAACGCACTTACGATTTCCCAGCATGTTCACTAATTCCCATAATCCGATATCGTTAACCAGATCTATTTTTATGGTTCTGTCGATGATGTTCGCCTCTTTGGAAACATCCCTGGTTCCCCTTAATTTAACTTTATCGCCTGATGGTATCTCCTGTGGTGCGTCAAGTAATAGGATGACTCTGGTAACAATATCAGACTCACGATTAGGAGAACCGGTAAGAAGTAATTTCAATTGTTTATAAAAAATGCGCATTGAAATGAAATATTTTACAGAATGTCATCTTTCGACTTCTAGATTCATGCCTCCAAATTTCATTAAAATCCTCGGGGGTCAGGCATGTAACCTCCTTGTTACAAAGTGAAATTACAAAATAATTAAAAATAAAATGTAATACCGTCGCACCGAGATTCAAAGGGAATCTCCTGATTGCTACTCATGCGCTCAGGTTGCTCGAGCGGCACGTGGTAACGTGGATTGTTGGCGGAAAGTGCCGAACAAGCTACGCATATAGCCAGAGTTACCGATACACTTATGTAAAAGCACGAGGACGGTATAGTGGGAGACGACGGTAGGTCATAGTGGGGGTAAGCGTTTGGCCCACGTACCGCGGATTCCTGGCATCACTGCTGATTAGACGAACGCGAGATCCCTCGCAAAGAGGTACGAACCAATCGTCCTCGTTTGAGAAAACACGCAAATTATCGTGGCCATAGTTAAGTCGCTTTTATCACAAAGAGTACGAACGAATTGGCCCTTATTCATGAAACCCTGGACGAAGTAGGCAGTAGTCGTCCCATGGAACACCATAACGAGAGTCTACCCTCCTGGTCTGTAAGTGCTCCTCCTACACTAGGAAATCCCAATACTAGCAGGTTTGAAGAAGAAAGGGAAAATAGGGTCATCGAGGAAACGGTCAGTTTTGAGAACGAGATGGACCAATTCCGCGCCTTAATCGAAACACCGCTCGATTTACCTCTTAAGCACCTGCCTCGTTTATTCGCAGACCATGGTATGGTTGTATTTAGAGATGACCTTGAATTAGAAGAGGTTAACTACTTTTCCATACCATTACGAGAATGTTAATATTCCTGGTATGACCGTCAGCGAAATTTCGTCTAAATACGACAACATGGTAAAGCGTAACAATTCCCATTGTTTATTCTGCAAATAGGTCTGTCTCCAATTACTTAATGCCTGAATAGTAAACAAATAGTGATTCCATACTCAATTTCGATAAATTTCAAGTACCATGAATTTTTTAATTGTAACATTATCTAAATTTAACAACGATAAGAGTTTCAAGCTGATATTGCAAAGTTGAAGTGATACTAAACGATATATGTGTGTATCTAATTATAACGCAACGCATTGAAATGAAAACATTACAACACCGATACGGTCAATCAACTTGATAAAAATTGATAAAGTATCGTGTTTCTTTATGTTTGCGTTGAATATACATAGTGGCTATCAGGTTTACATTATTAATGACGAAAATCAAGCGGAAAGCGCAGGATAAAAAATCGTACACACTAAAATAGAATGATCATATATTATCGTTTTATTATTTCGAATTATATTTTAGTAAGTCTTTCACATTTAGTTTACATTACTATATTGTTAAACTAACGAACAGAAAAGAGCTGCACCACACATAAATAATCTCATTAATAATAAGAACGAAATTTATGCGACAAAATATTAATCGAACGTTTACTCTTTTACCCTGTAAGTACGTGTAACATTCATGTATTCTCTTTGTGCTGTTTTCTAGGACAATAGATATTAAATGAACAATAAATACAACGCATTGGGTCTATTAAAAAAGAATTACTTGGTATAATTTATTCACGTACCGTCTAGAGAGATTTACAAATACGTAAGACCTAATAAATATTGTATACTACAGTGTTTCAATTATAAATTCAAATAGATAATGTATTTTTTTTTGTCCGTTGAATACTGAGCTAAGAAATTAATATTCAATTTGACAGTATAAATTTATCACAGATTCGTAATGCTTGGAGTTTTTCGTTTAAAGATAACTATAATTAAAATACATCTATTTACAATAATAGCTGTTATAGTTCTTACATTTGTCCTTTAAATTTAAAAATATTTGCTGTGATTAACAAAAGTTCAAAAACATTGATCAATTTTGTAACAATTATATAAACACAGTTACCATTTGTCAAGTTAGTTACAAATTTATATACATTATATTTATCAACTTATGAATAAAATAATAATGAATATTAGAATCCAGAAAAAACGTTAGTGCAACATTGTTTAACAAGTAACATGTATATTTCCTCACATTAAAAAAGGCATTTGTTGAAATAGGTATCAAATCGTGGTGTGCGAAAACATGACAAAAGTATACTTATAAAATTGATGGTATTTCGGATGTTATGTAAATACTGTTTTTTGTATGCATACATCTATGTAAAAACACAGCCAATTGCATTAAACTTCTTATAAAATACTGAGTTTGTATTCTTTTTCCATTACAATTTTATAATACACTTTCCAATAACGACAGTGTAATTTTTTTCTTTAATTTTATAGACTGACATATTATAATCTCTTAAAAAAAAAACAGTTTTATGCTTAGAAAAAACAAAATATTAAGTACGACTCGTAAATATTCACTTACTATACTTTACAATATTTTAACATCCACTGATTAATGTTAATAATTTTTTGCAGTATATTACTCAAATATTAAGAATAATTGTGAAATATACAATCATATACAAATTTGCTCTACACGTATATAAATATACAGTAACAGCATACACCGGAAAATTGGTTGAAACTACAGCAAATAAATATGTATAAATTTTCATACAATACTGTTCTTGAATACGTTTACACCAATTGAAGCAATAGCACTGTACTTATAAAGGAACTCTAACTTCCTTACTAACATAAGGAAAATGTATTACAAATTTACCTGGAACATTCGATTAATTTTATAAAAGAATATAATATTTCGATATTAAAATAACTTAATAGAGAAAACGGCTCGCAGGCATGTTAACTGCACCCCGACAGCTACTAGGTGGAGGATTTTCATCATCGGAATTCTCATTCTTTCGTAATAATATTGAATTATATCGTCCGCGTTGAGATTTTTCAGCTTGATGCCTCAATTCCTCAATATAGGCTGTAATATCATTTTCCACCAGTTCTTGTAAATGTTTACTTAACGTCGACAATTCAGGTTTCTCTTCATCATAAAGTCCTTCAAACCGCACATTTTTTTCATAAAACAATATATAAGGTGTATCTGGTGGTTTTAAGTCTTTAAAATCATTAAAAGTCGTTTGAGAAACATAACTATCGTTGAATTTGGACCAATTTTGTTTCGAGTCGCGAGCGTATGTGAAATAATGGCCATAATCCATGCTATAACCTGAATGAACAACAGCAGCATATAATTGATAACTTTCCGTGGTTGTGCACAATGGTGTTGATACTGGTAATTGTATAGACTCGTTATACATCACTTTATGTCGTAATTTCGTTCTTAGTCTGGTATCGAAATCGTAACGAAAATGTTTTAATATTAGAATTAAATATGTTGGTGCATGCAAAATTTTTATGATTCTTTGTGCATCACATAGCTTCATACATTTATCGCATCTATATTTATTTTCACCAGTCAATTTTTCTGGTGTAAGATAGTAGTTAATAAGATCTTGCACAGAAACTTCCTGGTTCTCTTGTATTTCTTCAGGGAAGCACAGTTGCAAATCACGAAATTTATCCGTATTATGAGAACTAGTATCACATTGAGCACACTGATAAGTAATTTTACATTTTCCTCCTAGTACTCTATGTACAAGTGGTACTTGTGTACTTGTGTCTTCTCCACCTACAGACTGTATTCCACTATCTGTGGAATCTGAATGTGAATCACTAAGTTGCTGTACTTGTGCCAAGTCTTCTCCTACAACAAGGAAGCCAATATAAGCTTGATACAGAATCTATTTATAATGATGTTGTTCTAGTGAAACATTACAGAAAAAGACCCTACCTTGAGTAAAATCTGCTAATGATTGAGTTTTTCTTTCCAACACAATACTGCCACTTAAATCTTCTTCAGTTGTCCAGCGTTTGATACTAGCTCCTTCTTCACTTATTGATGAAATATCATTTATCTCTCTATCATCCTTGTACTTGAGATTGGAGTTATTAGCCTCACTATTTATAGTAGCTGATTTTTCTTGCTCATGTAAAAGGTCTAAAAGATGACTGTTAAAATAAACAGATTATGTAATATAGATAGTAAAATATTTGAACTAAATATGTTTTCTATAATTATAAAATACTACTACTGATTTATTTAAAAAATATATATGATTTAACAAAAGCAATTCAAAGATTTGTTACTACATGATCACTTCTTGCCAATGAAACTTATAATTGACAAATAATTAACTATAAAATTGTAATTTTGGTGTAAAAAATAAGAATTAAGATACTAGCAACATATTAACCAGAGAAATTCAGAACTGTCTTGTTGTTGACCCGGTAGAAAATAAGCAGGACGTGAAGCTAATAGAATTTCAGTTGGTGCCAAGGAAATCCTCTTTGAATATAATAATAAAGTAAAGAGATTCTGCAACTTTTTAAGTACAGCTTGGTCATCAGCTTTGCTTGAAGGTTTATACATTAATACTTCATAACAAAATTGTCTAGTCATTAACAGTGCTTGTAACACACTATTCATATAACATGTATTTCCAAGATTTGAAAGTCCAACTTTTCCCAAGTGTGTTTTTGGTGATTCAATTACTGGTTCAATTTCTTCCATTTCATCTACCCAAACATGTTCATTCCATATTTCTTTAACAATATGCATTCGTGGTTGTACTGGGAAACAACTTTCCAAATTATTACAGACACATTGGCTTGGAAATCTTAACATAAGTATTTTCATGATATCGGCCAAATTTTGTATGCATTCCTTGCTTGATTTAGAATCTTCTTTTGTTAAATATAGTAACACCATTTGTGTGTTTCGTACTATATTTGGAAACAAGGATGGAGATCCTTGTCTTTTTAAGATATAAAATATAATTTCAGAAACATTTTGACGAATTACAGGTATTGACAAAGCACGAAACATTACATCAAGCTTTGCTTTTGTAACCTCAATAAGAATTAAATACTTATATCTTTTTTCTAAACCAAGTATAAACTCCTTAATCCAAATGCTAAGCCGATCACCTCTCCATTTTTGAAGCCAACTACATAGAACTTTCAAAGCTTGAGCTAATTGGGCATCAGAATGTGATTCAGAAAGAATCCAGTTAACAGCTTGTGGTATAATAGAAGGTTCTACCACTTGCAATACAGCAGCCAAACCAGGCCCAGGATCTTGATTTTGTTTAGTATCAGATATTATTCTATATAGTGTTTGGAGACATATGAAAATTAAATTGTCATTTTCAATATTCTTAGACTTTGTTTGTACTATTTTTAAAAAATTTTGAACTTTAGCAGCATTGTCGTTAAACTCTAAAATCTTTTTTGGATCATATGGCATTAAAAAAGTAGACAAGTTAATAACAATTGCTTCACAAAGTTTTGAATGATTCACTGACTCTGGCAAGTAGACACTATGCTCTAATAATACTTGGAGTATCATTGTTAAGTGAGACATATCACTTATTTCTGTATTCTTTAACATTGTTGCAATATCATTCGAAATTGGATTAATAGTAAATGGTTTCTCCGTTAAATATTGAGAGAACCAAATCATAATTTTTGGAATTTCTTGCACATTCCTTATCTCGTCGTTAAGTATTTCTCGTAAGATAGCTTCATAGTTATTTAATTGCCCGTATACAGGCTCACTTTCTAATTTTTTAAGCCTGCTCCATCCTTCAGTAACCTCTGTCCCTTTACCCATCACTATTAAATTTAAACATTGTTTGATGTCGTACTTAAGAATTTGATCCGTATTCATTGTGCACAAATTACCACTGCAGTACCACTTTAAATTACTTTTCTAATAATTTTTAACAAGAACTATTATTAACCTCAACCGAGAATGACTTTCACGAAAATCTAAATGATTTCATGGTCCTAGAGAAATAAGAAAATACATGTCAACTTTATAGCATCAAATGTAACTATACCTATGACAGGAAATTAAAGTTTACTTTTCCTATTAAAACTTCAAAAATAAGTAATATTTGAACAGTTATTTTTTAACAATATCAACCCTCTATAGTCATACAAACTTGACTTAAATTTAACGCTTTTTATTTTTTGTTACTTTAAAACAGATTTCTACATTAAAAGCTATGATCAATAAAATGTGTATATTAAAACATTTCATACGCGACTATTTTTTTATCATTTCTAAGTTACACCACATTTGTCTGATTTTATTATACAGAAAAATATTCCTGAAGATTTTTACTTTTAGCATGCCATTATTATTTAAAATATTCATGGCAAATTATGTACGTGTGATACTACAATTAAAGTGACGCTAGAAACATAGAAGCGTAAAATGTTGGCTACACTACAGGTTGTTTCGTTGGTTTCGACACAGCTCGCACGATACGGGACGGCCAAGAATAGCAAAGAGCACGCGAATCTAGCCGTCCTGTAACTGAGTCTGGTGAAGGCGACCGACCGCTCCCTTCGTGGTCCGTCAGAACGAATTTTAACGTATATTTTTTGTAGAAAAAACGGGATCCGCGATTAAGTCGTATATGGAGGTAAGAAGTGGAAAACGGTCGTTTCAGCGTGTCAAATCACGCAAAGTGAACTGAAGTGAAGTGGCCTCGGCGAAGTGGAGATCCAAAAGCGTAGAAAAGAGAGAGAGTGAGAAGAAGAGAAAGAAAGAGAAGAAGAGACCGTGCGAAGTGGTTATAAGGTTCTTGAGTGCAGTCGTGCGTGTTTTCGGGCAATGTCTCTTGAGAGTCGTTCGAGCTCAGCCCTATTTAAAAGGGCTGAACAGCTCAAACGTTGGGAACAGTCCGAAACAAATCGTGAACCGGCCCAACCACGTCAGGTCGCACGGAAGATTAAATTCTCAGCGGATTGTGTATTCCTGGCAGCATGCGCGGCAGGCGACAAGGAGGAGGTCGTACGTTTACTCCAAAAGGGGGCGGATATCAACACCGGAAATGTTGACGGTCTCACAGCGTTACATCAGGTACAATTCCTCTATCCTCCTTTTGCACATTTGATTATATCCCGCGATTTCTTCCCAATATATATACATATACATATATATATATATATATATATATATATATACACATAACAACAACACCCAACCGAGTTTTTCCAGTCTTGCTTTCTCTCTATGTTTTTTCTCCCTCGATCATAATTCTTATTGCAAGATGGCTACTGCATGCTCCAGCTGTCTAATTTAAGTGTGATCGGTCAAATTTTCTTTCATGCTTGCGATGTCACATTTAATGATGGGAAAAATGCAGATGTGGTTCCGCCACGGAGTATACGCTTCCGCTATCTCACAATTCAAGCCATACAACTACTCCCTCTGATAACAGCCGACAAAACTGTTCACCCCCTCCCTCTTATGATTATTGTTTATATATGCAGAGAATGAAGTTTCAAAAGCAAGAAGACTTATTACACGTTCATCCAATTATTTGATTAATAAAATATATAGCACACTTACTTTAAAAACCAAATATAATAACAGTAAATTTTAAAGTATACAAATGATACAAATTTTTTCATCTGCTTTTTCTTAGTTTTATGTTGTCTTCTTAATAACATGTATATCAAATTCTTTGTATTGCATTTGATACCTATAGAATAATTTATAACAATTACATGTATCAATCATAATATTAGATTGTTATGTAGTTCTAAATGAATGAAAATGTTAGAATAAGACTCATCATATAACACAACTTTCTCTTATATATTTAATAGTTTTAGCTAGTATTAACTACATCCCAGATATAACATACAAAAGTAATTCTATGTAAATAAAATTGAAAAACATTAATAAACTGCTTATTTAAATAAGAAATTCACTATTTAAAATATTCTTAAGTAACATATTTTTTGTAATATAGTATTGTACAATGTATAATGTAATTTTTTTTTCATTAATCGAATATTTCTTCAGAATGTTTAATTTGTCATCTTGCATACAGTATAAGTTTTGAGGTAATACTTAAACTCTTAAGTCTGCTGAAATAGATTGAAGTTAGGATAAAGCTAAAAATAACTCTGCAAAAGATGTCCATTTTGGTAGTGCTCAAAGCATAAAAATATTTGCACTAATGTTGAATATTAAATTAACATATTCATACATTTTTATCATACACACATGTATTAAATAAAAAACTGCTAAGAAACATATTTATTAAAAATTATAGAAGCCTGCAAAAATTATCACTTAAATATCAAATTATTTATGTACTGCAGTAGAAATATGTATAACACATCTTTTGTTCTTATATTTTAAATAAACACATATATCATACGGTTAAGAAATTATATTTATTATTTTATTTGACAAAACAGGAAAAGAAAAGTATTGTTCATAACAAATAATTATTGTTAGATATATATTAACAAAAATTTTAAATTGCTATTTATGCTACTAATGAAGTGAATATTATTCATTTATAAGTTTTACTGAATGAATTGTACCATAGTTATGTAATTACTGACTCAGCCAAAATCATTCATAAAATATTTATCATGTATACTTATAACAAGAGTCACCTATCTCAAAAAATATGTACAAATAAACTATTTTATATGAAACATATCATATTTGTTACTGTTATTTAAGTGTGATAGTAAGAGGAAGTTTAGGCATTTCATGGATTTGCGAAAATAGAATGTGAAAATACATCAGGCATCAAATGCTATTTATAGTTCTCTGTTAGAAGTCAGAGGCTGCAGCATCTGTATTCTATGTCCTCTGTCTTAAAATGTTATTATACCTAATGTCCTTTTTAATTTACATATGACATCATCTTTCAAATATCAATTATTAAAATTTATGTTAGAATATCCAAAATTATAGAATAATTAAACAATATACTACTCCTAAAGTATCTACTATTGGGTACACTACAATATTTAATTTACATGCATTATTTAAATACCATTAAATTTATTAACACATCAATGCTAAATTTCTTTCTTCTTTGAAAATAATACCAGCATAAATAGAATTTCTTGTTCTTAAAATTTTCTTAAATATACTTTTTGTATGTATATTTTTAACTTTTATGCAAATTTGTATATATTTTTCTCTCAATGTACAAATATTATGTTTTAAGGTATTTAACCATTTTTCTGATTATATTTTATAACTAAAGGAAGTTACAATATTTCAATTGTAGGCATGTATCAATGATGATCTGGATATGGTCGAATTTTTAGTGGAAAAAGGAGCTGATATCAATTGTGGAGATAATGAGGGATGGACACCATTGCATGCAACTGCATCTTGTGGATTTATATCCATTGCTAAGTTAGTATTATTTTCACCTGGATATTGAAGATAGTAACATCATTTATATGTGTTAATAATTATTATAATATAGTAATAAAATTTAAAAACTTTTTTAAATGAAGGAATACAATTTTATAGATATTTAATAGAAAAGGGATGTAATTTGGCAGCAGTTAACTATGATGGTCAATTGGCTCTTGATATTGCAGAAAGTGTTGAAATGGAAAATATGCTGCAACAACATATAAATAAATCTGGTTTGTAGTTATTATTATCTTCTCGAAAAAATACATTATAATTGATTAATTATTGTTATAAGGGTGATACATTTTGTCATTTAAATTTGTTTCATAGGCATAGACTGTGTTGAAGCTAGAAGTGAAGAAGAAAGGTCAATGTTAAATGATGCCAGGGCATGGCAAGCAGGAGCAACAGGCAAGGATGCAATTCACCCTAAGTCAGGAGCTACTGCCCTTCATGTTGCTGCTGCTAAAGGCTATGTTGATGTCATGGAGTAAGAACCTTTTAAATATTAAACCTATTAAAATAACTATTACATTAAAAATATTTAAAGGGAAAAATAATGCGATGTTAATGCTCAAGATTTTGATGGTTGGACACCTCTACATGCTGCAGCACATTGGGGACAATTGGAAGCCTGTGAACTTTTAGTAGAAAATTTTTGTAATATGGACATTAAGAATTATGCTGTAAGATTATAATTGTTTTATATTATAAATAACGAAAATTGTCTCTTTCATAATTTTACATTGATAGGATCAAACTGCATTTGATATTGCTGATACAAATATATTACCAGCCTTGAAGGAATTAAAAGAAAAACAACAGCAGTTAATGAAAGATCATCCACAAATTATTAATAAAAAACAGCCAACTATACCAAAGAAACGGTTCGTAAAATAAGTAATTAATAATCTTTTATAAAAAATGTAATTTATTATATTGATTACCACATTACAGTGTATCAACAAGTAACGAAAATACTATAATTATGCAAGAATCTGTGGAAACATTTGAAGAAGAGACGCCAAATAAAGTTAAAAAAGTCGAACTAGAAATTCAGTCTGATAAAGAAGATTCTAGTACTGGAACCAATAGCGATGTTGGTATGTTCTGCTTTTTCGGTTTTACTTTTTAATAGGTTTGCTAATTTGCATGTCCATATTTAAACGTTTTTGCAAATTAGGTATTTGATTTTGTTACTAAATGGTGATGAATTTCTAAACTAAAATGTTTCATAGGTATTACTATATAGGAAAAATGTACATTAAAAAATTCATTGCAACATAACAGTTTGTTACTTACAGTTTTATTTAAAAATCTATAACAGAGTAATACTATCAGAGCACTCTATGGGTTATAGAAACGTAGTACTTCTCAATCATTTTTTCTTTTTCCATAAACACAATAAAATGTTAATGCACTTTTTATACATGTTTATTCAAAAAATTTGTAGAGTTACTTAAATTTATTCACAAATGATTGAGAAGTACTGATGTAGGTAGGAATAGTTTCTTATGAAGAATATGTTATACACTGTTCAGTTTTGCAAGTCTATTTTACTTACCTTAACAGCAATTTGTATTTCTTGTAACAATGCTGCATGGACAGAAGCGACACGTGAAACAGATATGGAAGAGAGTGATGGTGAAGGTGAATCTGAGACTAGCTCAGACTCACATTCTTCCACTTACTCCAATCAATCTGATAAGTCTAACGAATCAAACCACTCTCCATGTCTTACAGATGATGGTGAGTTTTGTCTGTAAGACTGTTTTTATATTCTTAAAATTAAATTTCGTTGCATGTATTATATGATACATTTGTCTCCTTTTGTTCCTTTTCATAATGAAAAAGCTACTTTCAAAATGTGTTACTAAAAACCATTTTTCCATTGAAATAAATGGATGTATAGTCCATTAGTTTCCTTCCTTCTTAGAAAAAAGTTGCAAAATGATATTTCTGTAAAATACATGTATTTTTATGTAACATTGCAGAAAAGAAAAATAGAGCAAATAGAGAGGAAACATCCCCGCGTAATACACCGTCTGCTATTGATACTAATAAAGTTCCTAATCAGGTAATATTTATATCAATACTTAGCAGTATATCAGATCCTTATACCATAAATTTGTATAATTTGATTTTTTCAGGCTCCAATAATGCCACCTAAACAACAGACTGATAGTAACGAAGAAGATGTAATACCATCTTGGCGTCGGTCAGGCTCTTTCAGAAATAGGATACAAAATACAGATGCAACACATACTTTATCTACGAGTAAGTGACGGATATTATAGGAATACTTCACATGATTTTAGACTATTATTTATCACTACTATCTTTTATTTTACTTGTATTTAGGACTTGAAGAAAAGGACAACAACATTAAATCACCAACCATGTCAAATAAACTTAATACAGAACCTGATGTGGTATTAACAAGAACACATAGTTTTGAAACAGATGACAAGTGAGTTAAAAATTTAACATACATTGTTTTGTAATATTACAATTTTGCAATTTTGTATATTATGTAAGTTTCATTAACATATTTATATTTTGTTTACACTGCAATCACTTATAATTGTGCATATTCATATTTATGTTTATGATTTTCTATAGCAAAGTTTGCGAGCATTTAACAAATTATTTGTTTACGTCAAAAATTCGATACAGTAGCTTCTAAGCTTTATGCGTATAGAAAATTAGTGTAGTTGTATGCATGGCATGGTGCATGTTATGCAGGTTCTATGAGCAGTACTTGGCATTACGAGCTCGCATCAAGGCGTTTTCCTGCCCTACTCTCCATTGCTGCAACGCAGCTACTCCTACTCACACCAATACTACGACCCGTTCTGCATCTCTACGCGAAACCCACAGGTGCGCATGTTTCGTACATGATATATATTAATGCTTTCAGTATATATAATTTTACCTAGTATTATATTAAAGCTTCTCTGTATTTTTTTGCTACATATGCTGTTTTTATACTGTGATCATTAATATACAAAGTAAGCTTTCCTTATTCTTTGCTTTTGCTTGGCTTAAATGTCACTTAAATTTTTTTTTGTGTACATCAAAATATTATGTACCTCACACAAACTGTGCAACATTCGAGTTAATTCTGATTTTTCAAAATTCACGTAACTGAAATGAAATTTGTACTTTTTTGTGATATAACAAATATACTGTTTTGACTTTAGAAGAAAAGAAGCAAAATTAAACTTGGAACTATCAAGACTGCCACAGGGAAGCAATACACTTTCACCAACATCTACATCTAAAACAATAGTGTCAAGTACACTGCCAACTACTACAGCTACAGCTACTACAACTGCCACAACAACAACAACAACAACAACAACAAGTCCTATTCCAACCAATCAAATACGCAGGTAAATATTAAGAAGAAGAAAAATTTATTTTTACCAAATTTGATATAGGGAAGTAATAGACAATTTTTAAATACTTTTCTACATTTTAAATGCAGTCAATAAATATACTGTTAAAAATATAGTAGATAAAGCTGCGAAATACGGGAAAATATACGTAGGTGCCTGAAAGTTCAATTATTACAAGGAACACAATTTAGTATATACATAAAGCAAAAAAATACATTTAAGATGAAAGTCTATATATTCATATTTGCATCGCGCAATGCTGTTAATATGGCTGAGTAGTGTTCAACCAGTGGAAGCTACAACTACAAACAATTCAGTAGCAGTTCCTGGAACTCCCACTACACCAGGAGGGAGCAAGCTAAGTCCAGGAAATATCTTCAAGAATTTCTTCAAGTGGGTACTAATGCTTGACCTGGGAAGATAATCTTGAAATGTGTGATTTTATATATTCTATGACATCTACACACAATATTAAATTATTGGCAGTGGCATGAAAATTTGCTTTGCAGTGTGATTATTTATTTCAGTTGCATACATTTATTCTAGAATATTACTTGTCCTAATAACCACTGCCTTGTATTTGCTAGTCAAAATAATATATTTAGTTTGAAAACACTGCCACTGAAATATATGAGTTGATTTTCTCAGCCACTTAAGTAGCTTCACATTTTAAAATATACATTTTTTATAAAACCTACTTCAGCAAATTTCCTGGTGTTAACGCAAGAATATCGTGACTTCAAATGCACGGAATTACCATGAATGACATAAAGAAAGAAAATATGTGCATTTTTGACAAACTACTTTTTAATTTTACAAAAACATGAAGTTTTAGCATGTTTTATGAATACCTCAAAGTACACTTTACCTGTGCGGTACAAAATACATTTGTTAAAGAATTAAACACCATTTTCATTTCTAAATATTACATTTAAAACTGTAATATTTACACATGGTTGTGATTTGTACCAAACAATAACAAAATAATTGTTTTGTGTTCAAATGAAGGCATAATTGTTTCATGTGATACTTGTAAATGTTGCTTGTGAATTATGCTTATCATAATGTTTCATGCTTTTTAAAAATTTTGTTATACTTTCCAAAAATGTTAAAGGCATTGTACAAATATTATCATTATTTATTACAATAATAAATGCAATTTTTGATTAGGTCTTTTGTTCCTCCTGTTCGTGATGAAGAAAGCGAAACACAAAGAAAAGCCCATGCAAAGAGGGTAAGAGAAACTCGGCGTTCAACTCAAGGAGTGACGTTAGATGAAATCAAAAGTGCGGAGCAACTGGTGAAGAAAAAACAACAAAACAATGAAATTCCTCCTACAATAACTTCTACACAGGTAAATATTTTTATATAATATTTTTCCACCTTTGAAATGTTTAAATAATGTTGCTCTTATAAAATGTTTGTACTAAACAACGATTTTTTAACTATTGTGTATGTTTTAATTTGTGTACTGCAGCTCTTATAAAATACTAAACTTCCTAATAAAACACGAAACTTCTAATAATAACGAAAGCTTCATAATTATTTATTCATTTTTTTTTTAATAACTCAGCCTGCAACCACTACCAGCAATACAGCCTCGATTACAGCTACAATAACAACAGCAACCCCTACTACTGTGACTGCAAATAAACCTTCAGAAGAACTTAATTTACCTGAAAGGCGACCTTCTTGGAGGTTGAAAGTGGACAATGGAAGCAAGGTTTGTGGTTTATATAACTTTCAATCACATTTCAATATAAGGTTCATGATATATAAATATTATTATCCTCCTTAGAAGAAAATGTGTATCTTACTTTTAGAAAAGTATATGTATTTTATTTAGTTCCAGTTAGAAGATGCTAATAACAGAGCTAGTACACTACCTAATCCAGATACTACCACAGCATATATGAGAAGACCTTCTACAGGTACTAGTGTGCCAAGACCATCATCAGCTCCAGTTGAAACCATTGCAACAAGTAGTGCAGAAACAACGGTAACATTACCACTTAGACGATCGTTAAAGCAACCTGAAGATAAAGGTATATATTGTACAGATTAAAAGTTGCGATACACGTTGATTGAAGTATATTAGTAAAAAACTGTTATTTTGCTTCTACTGATATGTTTCAGAACAAGATAAGGAAAATGATATTAGAAACGCGCAAGCTACACAAGCCGTTATACAAAGGAGACGGAGGCCTAAGAGAAGATCTACTGGTGTTGTCCACGTTGATATGGACGTTAGTATCTATTATTATTAAAAATTCAATCAAAGAATTGATTATCAATTTCAGTTATCCAGCTTTATCACCTCCATTTTTTTAAACTATACGTTCATATAACCTTCATATCTTAGTGATTGATATAAAATAATTTATTTTTAATAATTCTAATTGAATATTTTATAGGAAATAGATCCTGAGAAACAAGACTTAACTGCTGGTGGTGATTGTGACGAGTCCAAAATCAACCACAATGAAGTAAGTAATACTGTTTTATTTTATTATTACTGCTAATTATATGTAATACCTAAAAATATTTTCTTTTGAAAATTGTTGA